CGTGTCTCGCCTGGGGTGCTTGAATGCCATCCTTCTTCCCATCCGGTTCTTTCCCCTCGTAGTCACCGTTTGCATGATAATCATGGCGTTGGTAACCTGGAGGAGATGGAGGAGGAGGAGGAGGAGGAGGAGGTGGAGGAGGAGGTGGAGGAGGCAGAGAGGGAGTTGAGCATTGGAGGAGGACCTGTGCTTGGTGGAAAGTAGAGTGAGGATGTCAGCGGGAGAGAAAAGCATCGAGCGGCTGCTTAGCACACACACACAGAGAGAGAGAGAGAGAGAGAGAGAGAGAGAGAGAGAGAGAGAGAGAGCATCTCGAGCCTGTTTTCTTGGAAATCTCGAACTTCGGAGGATCGAGTCCGATTATAAGTCGGGAGAAGCGCGGTAAGGTGGGGAGAAAACGTCCTGCCTGGATTTTTTTTTTTTTTTTTTTTTTTTAATACTATAGTGAGGTGGATACGGTGTGTTTGGTTTGGTAATATTACTAGTGAGTAAGAGCGGGATGGCTTTTCTTTTTCGGAGTCCATTTTTCACGTTTTTCTTGACCTTTTTTCTTTCTGATTGATTTATTATTAAAGAGCGGGATGACTTTTCTTTTTCTGAGTCCATTTTTCAGGTTTTTCTTGACCTTTTTTCTTTCTGATTGATTTATATTATCGTCGATTGTGGATCAGGAGAGTCACTGTAAGGTGCAGCAAAACCTCAAAACCTCAGGTGCCTTGCCTGCTGTTTTTTCCTTTTTTCTTTTAATGATAGCGAGGTGTTTACAGTTTTTTCGTTTTGTTTTGATAACGAGTAAGGATTATATGGCTTTTTTTTCCCTGACAGTGAGAAGGGGATGGCTTTTTTTTTGACTTTTTTGTCGTGAATTATATATAATATTACTACTATTATGATCGTCATTTTGTTCTGTTCTCTGAAGATTCAGATTGTTTGTGTTCGTCGTGATTGGTAGCGCTACCGTCTTCACCCGAATACAACGCCCGGTCATAATCGCTGTATCTAGACTGAAAGTTGCCCCAAATACGGCTATAATAACCGGGAGTTGTATTCGGGGTGAAGACGGTAGTTGGGGTTTGCTTTATGGCATTGCTCTTTTCTTTTCCGTTTTCACGATTCCCTCAGACCGTTAGGCGCCATTGTTTACCGTTATCACGGACGCAGCAGAATATTTTTTTTCCTCCGTCTTTTTTTGTTTTTGCCCCTCTTGACGAATAGATTGATTGATTGATTGCCAGATGGGTCGAGTTTCAGGTCCATGGACTGATGATGGTTTGACACGTCGTCGGATGACACTTGGCAGCATACAAATAGGTGGTGCATCTCAACAGCTAGGAGACTGTTTTTTTTTCCCTTTTTTTTCCTTTTCCTTTTCCTTTTTCTTTTTTCTTTTTCTTTTTCTTTTTTCTTTTTTTTCCCTTCACGATCACCTTTTTTTTGTTTTTCTTTTCTTGACGAGGAGATTGATTGATTGATTGCCAGATGGATCGACTGCTAGTCCATCGAGTGATGATGGCTCGACAAATTGGACAACACGTGGCAGCTTACAGACGATTTAAATGATTCTCTCTCTCTCTCTCGCTGTCTTTGTCCCCTCGTTAAATGTGTGCTCCAATCGTAACGCTTCTCTCTCTCTCTCTCTCTCTCTCTCTCTCTCTCTCTCTCTCTCTCTCTCTCTTCCTCCTCAATAGAATGCGTGATGGGAACCTGAACCTCGCTGCGAGTGCACGTGGTAGCATTGCCATCATCATTATTCATTCTCTCGAAGCATCCTTCCTCTGCCCGACTACAATCCCCCTTTTCTTTTTTTTTTTTCTTTTTTTTTCAAGCCCCCTTGCTCATCACTAGCAAATTTCTGTTAGAATTACCTATGAACTCTTTCCCTCTCTCGTTTATCCATCACCTTCACACTGTTCCTTGCTCCATCGTCGTTCTTCTTCTTCTTCTTCTTCTTCGTTTTTATATAAACAAACCTCCATCGTCATCCATCAACAGCAAGGCACGTTTCTCCTTTCGTTTTTTGAATTACACAGGTCCTTATGCTGCTGCTGCTGCTTCCTAGGTCCATTCTTGCGGAGCTCCCGTCTTCCCCCGAACACAACGCACCCCCATTTTGGCTGCACCGGACCGGAAAGATGGCTTGTATACATTCATTGTCAGGGTGCGTTGTGTTCGGGGAAAGACGGTAGCTTTCCTATTTCTCCACATTGTCGTCATCCATCCATCCATCCATCCATCCCTCTTATTCATATTCGCCCATCATGAACACCACGTCATCATCGTTCAACCTCTCCTCACCTCATCAAATCACAGCATCATCATCATCATCATCATAATCATCTCTCATCGTCCCACATCATCAAGATGACGTCATCCTCCTCCTCCTCCCCCCCTCCCAAAAAGGATGACATCATCATCACCGTAACAAATCGAGATCCTCGATTCCATCATCATCAGTCATCATTGACATCCACGTCTGTCCACGAGGTAGCAGAAGTCAATAACCACTCCCAGTGCTACCAACGGACCTAGCTCAGTTGGTAAACCCATGAAAGCGAATTCATTGCAAACGCGAACGCTCCGTCGGCGAGAAAGCTAATTACTGAAATCGCATACGTCCACACATCTCGACCACATGCATGATGAGTCATTCATCATCATCATCAGCGTAATTGATCCATTGAAGTAGAGTACTCTGCAGTACTGAGTGATGCTTTGTTTTTATTGTGTAATTATAAAAGCAGTCAGAGAAATCTTATTTGAAGAAACGGAAGTTTCAGCAGCAGGTGGGGGAAGCTATTTGGGAAAAAGCAATGACGAATGGAGAAGAGAACAAAGAGGAAGACACAGAGACAGGAGAAGAGAGGATAGGGGGACGTGGTGGGAG